GGTATAGATAGGGCTTCCTGTATGGTTAAGGGAATAGAGACACTGGAAAGGCTAGAGGTAAAAGCTGCAAATGATGTAGATAACTGAGAATAGGACAGATAGTTTGAGATAGGGTATTTAACACATGACCTTTTTTCTTTTCTGAGAGCAATGGGTAGATTTAGATCACTGAAATTATTACCTTTGTCATTTTCTGGCATTGAGTCAGATTTATTGACAGTGGCAGGATCAGGGATATCCTCTATTCTGTGATTTCAGAAAATACCTCCCTGATAGAAGGTAGAGGTTTTTTTTCAAGTATCCTCCCCTTAACTTCATCTAGGTCCCTATTGATCCCTGCTAGAAACATATAGACCCTATCATTCTCTTCTTTTTTCTTATGTCTGGCCAGATCCTTAGCACTCTCCCACTCTTCATCATCATAGCATTGATCTGATTCTTGCCACAGAGATACCATTTCATTGTAGTATGAAATAATATCCCTATTTCCTTGTTTAGATTGGCCACAATTTGGTTTTGAGTTCAAAAATTTGAGAAGAGTTCTCAAGGTCTGAATAAGTTTCCTTAATAGAATCCCATACCTCCTTTGCAGTTTTCATAAACATATGAGGTTTGGCAATTAGGGGCTCCATGGAGTTGAGAAGCCAAGCTGTTATGAGTGAATTCTCTGACCTCCATGTACTGTACCCTTCTTCTGCTTGTATTTTTGGTTGGATTTCTCCTGTGATGTAACCCAGCTTTCCCCTCCCATCAATTGCAAGTCTGACAGATTGAGACCACTCCAGATAGTTTGTTCCATTCAATCTATGACTAGTGATTATCATAGATGAATGAATAGGAGACTAGTAACTTGTCATAGAGCTAATTTGGGAGTTAGGGTTGGTAGTGTGTGAGGAATCAGCTTCACTGGTTTCTACCATTGTTTAAACCGAAGCTCTGATACCATGTAGGTTTGAAGAATTAATCTTACATGTATTATTGAGCCATCCGGCAATGATATAAATACAAAATTACAGATAAGCTAAGGTTTGTTACAGATCCTAATATTTAGGATCTATCTATTCTTATCTACACTGCGTGTTAATCTAAGAGTTAGAGTCCTAAATCAACTCTACTTCCTATCTATACAGTCCCGGATGTACACATAATAAAATAACATGAATATGCTACATTTTTCTACAGATGCTTATGGGAACCTCTACATTTGCGGACAAGAGGGGTAATGAGGTGCAGGTTCTTTACTTACCTCTTCTGGAGACTTTTGATGTAGCAGCGCTTTATAGTTGGGGTAGTGCGACTTTAGCATACCTGCCTGTCGTGTCGAGGTTGCCATTGCTAGGGTGGTGAGATGGGTGATTTTTTATTGCTCATACAGCTATGGTCGTGGGAGCATATTTATAATAGTAGACCTGTCATACTGCGATATCATGGGATAGATAGTGGTCCTCTTCATGATACTTTGGATCTGCACGATCGATCTGTACTTGGACAACATCATGTCCGTGGTGAGGACCCTTTGGGTCGTAGGTACGTTTATGAATTTTGTTTAATTTGTTTTTATTTTATGTATGTCGTACTGGAACCCATTTTATATTCTTGTACATTACTGTGTGTCAGATGGTTGTTTGCTGACGTCACTCGCGCGTCATCCGCTGCTGGATTAGGCTACTATCGAGATGCATTAGATGACATGTGTGATGATCAGGTATACCATGTATATCATTAAGTATAACTGCTTAATGATATACATGATGTCATAATATTTTATTTTGCAATACAGATGGCGTGGATGTCATACACTCATGAGATTCTAGGACAGTTGCCTCCCTTTGGATGAGAGCACACTAACACAAGGCGAGCACATGTGCCCTTAATTTGTTTTAATGTAGTGGAGCATCACTTTCCTGATTGCGTGCTACGACAGTTCGGGTTGCAGCAGGTTATTCCCGTACCTTGTGATACTTCTGTGGACTTACACAAGATCCACAAGCGAGGGAAGCACACTGAAGATTGGGGGATGCACCATATTCAGTATATCACCATGTGGGATGAGAGAGCGGCGTATATAGTGGACAAGTTCCCATCAGTAATCCCCACAATCTCTGCAGATTACATGAGATGGTATCACAACATTACACGGGTATTCATCTCTCTCAGTTTTCGTCTACCCACCGATCATTACCAGCCTAGCTCAATCGTTCTTCATACCAAGGTACACAATATATTCACATAAATCACTTTATTTATTCATTCGTTCGTTCATTCGTGTGTTTATCTTTAATAACCATGTTTTCATTACAGACACGGGCTTTGCATGCCATCTGTGATAGAGCGACTGTTGTAGTTGATGAGGGGCAAGATGTACAGGGATATCATGAAGTATGCTCGGGCATTGCTACACTGTGTGATGATGTATTGGGCCGAGTAGACCATGGATATGCGGCCGTCTCTCAGTATTCCACGGCATCTACATCCGCAGGGTCTTCCCAGACACGACGACGTGATAGAGTGGTTCTTCAGCCTCGTAACCAGCACAGACACCCCCGACGTCAGGCACAAGCACAGCCACATGAGCTTTAAGATGACGATCACGTTGAGTTGTGAAATTTGTACTTGACATTATTGTGTTACTGATGAATTAGCTGATCGATTTCTGAAACATTGAATCTCTTATCAACTTTATGTGATATTTGTAGTATCGTGATCAAATGTAGTTCCATTGTTTCGTTGTGTCTCGAATATGTTTTGTTTTTTAGCAACCTATAGTCACTATGAAGAGCAGTTGTTTGATGTTTTTGAGTTGACAGTACTGTAATGAGCAGGTTTTTGCATTTTTTTCCGGTTGAATAAGTGTAAACAGGTTTTTGTGTTTTTTTCACGCTGAATAAACTGGTGTGTAATTACTGAAGACAAGAGCCGCCACTTCAAATGACGGCTTTTCTATAGTAAGAGAAGAGCCGCCACTTGAAGTGTCGGCTTTTGTTAACCGTGGTTAATCCCAACAGTATGTTGGGAATTATTTTTAACCCGACACTATTTTGGGAATTATTTATTTAATTAGCATTATTCTGGGAAAAACTCATTTTTAAATTCATAAATTATCAGTGTTATTATAACGGAGATAATATGAATAGGCATATTTTTAAAATTAGTACAAAAATATGTATTTTGTTGAGTAAAAAAATTAGAAATAGGAAATTATAACAACATGTACATAGTGAAAAATATCAACCTTAAATTTTTTGTGAAAAAATATAAAATATTTCTTAAAATTAAAAAAATCAAAATCATTGAATAAAATAAATATATACTAAATTAAACAATATCAATAAAATAAGTATACTAAATTATTCAATATCAATCATTCAAGTCAAAATAAATACACCACTTTTGGAGACTTTACCATTGTATTGCAGTACTTTACTTTACCATTGGATTTTTAATTAATTACAATATCAACTACCCAATAAATTAAATATATTTGGTAATTACAATTTTAGTTCAAACTTCTATTCTTTCTAGCAAGTAGCTTCTATTAAATTGGCTGATTTTGGAATAACTTTGTTTTGAAAATGTATAGAACATAGACCCTATGACTTCCTCACGTTTGGCACAATTAATTCACTCTCCCCTAATATGGATGCAGGGAAAACAAATAAGTTGTATTAATAATGAGGGAGTAATCCACGATTATTATTCTCTAATTTTAAACTATAATACGGAATATAATATTAAAAGTGGTGGATGACTAACAAAGTTAACAGAGGGTCTTTCAAGAAAAAAATAACGGAGGAAGACGTCTAACCTATAAATTAATGGAGGCAGATGACTAAGTGTATACATATTATCAAAGTTGTACAACTCTTACATCCAAGAGTATTATCATATTTAGCAACAAGTTACACCAACATTTTTCCTAGTTTTTTTTATCCTTATATATATATATATATATATATTTATAAGCATTATTTGCAACCTTTTTATTTTATCATTTATATATATATATATATATTCATCTTTTTTATATTATCTTTTCATAATAGCTTATCTTTTTATCTTTATTCCTTCTTTTCCTTTTGGTTGTGATATCATGTATCGATTCATGTTAGCTGACCCCGATATCTTTTGGGACTAAGGCTTGGATGTTGTTGTTGTTGTTGTTATGTCCTTGCCTCTATTCATGTTTATAAGATTGTAAGATTATAACTAATCGCTTAACATCATTATGTAATAAATATTAAATAATAATAAAATTTAAGAATATATACAAAGATTACAAACATATATTCCCTCCGTCCCATTTTAGTTAGCCAAACTTGACTTTTCAAGTTAATGGTGTCTAACTTTGACCGATTATATGAAAATATAATCGGTTAGATAATTTTCATATTATCTAACAGAAGTATTGATAATATGAAAATGATATGAAAATGTTCTTTGTTAAAAATATTATCATAAAAGTATAAGAATATTAATTTTGCATAAATATATTAGTTAAAATAATTGGTTAAAGTTTACCATCTTTGAATGGAAAAGTCAAATATTGCCAACTAAATGGACGGAGGTAGTATAGTTATTATCTCAATCTACATGTAGCTTTCTTCATATCCGTTGTTAAAATTACAAATACGTATCTCTTAAAAAATAAAAGAAAAGAAAATTTTGGTGAATCTAGACGCCCTATGTGGCCATTTAGGCACTCTGGGCGGGTTACTAAGGAGCCTAGGTGGCCGACGAATTCAACTAGGCGCCGAATCAATTATTCGGGACGCCTAGACTAGAATCACGGCGCTCAGCCACCGCCTTGCGCCTAGGCAGGGAGTCAAGGACTAGGCGGGCGCCTAGATCTATTTTTAGAACAGTGGGTATACGAAGTATACTCATTAAACAGCCAACTCTGGAAGCATTCTGAAAAGCTGAATCTCAAAGAACTACAAAATTATGAGTGTGGAGATCTCAAGATGTCTAATCTGAGGAGATATACAGAAGAGAGAGAATACCTTTGTCTTTGCAGCAAGACGATATATAACGGGAACATCAGACTGCTTGTGATGTTTCGGATAAGCCACTTGGCCATAAAGATCATACTTGTCTATCATCTTCAGTATAGAAAGAAGAACTGATGCATTGGTGTTTGACATTTCGTCAATGTTGTCACGATTACCCATTATAAGAGTCTGCAAAACATAGAGAGAACGTGTACTGACTAACCAACTAGAGCAGCAGGTGAATTTAGTAATACTCCCATTCAACAAAAGAAAAATCTCTTTGAAAAACTAGATGAACTTAGGAGCATACTAAGATATTGATCAAATCGTGAATTTCGAATTTAATCAATCAAAAATGAGAGCATTGATGTATAGTAATTATCTCGATCTCTTACTCTAAGGACATCCTTGGTAATAGCTAATAAAGTAACAAATATTGTTCAGCATATAGAAAATGACAACTTTTGTTTGACATCCCATCAGAGAGAATACTTTTCAACTGAAAGGAGTATTCAGACATACCAAGTTAGCAAGCTCCCTCAATGGACGACATTCGCCAAACGCCTTTACTAAAGTGGTGAGGTTCTTTTTAGGATCAGGCCTGGCAAGGGCAAGAATCATAGGCTTCCTTGGATTTGAGAAGAACCGCATTATCTGCACAAGGCAGAATTTATTGTAAGGATATCAAGATATTAAGAGAAGGGGTGGGTTTGATGTTTATATTAGTGGTGGATGACAATACTTTTCAGGCATTATGGTTAGATTGGAATCCATTTCATTTATAAATGTTAATAAAAAGAAAGCAACAGATACTTGCTCAAATCATATCTTATAGGAACACAATTGAAAGTACACGGGACAAATAACAGTCAATTTAAACCTCTGTCCAAATAGCAGGATATTTTCCATCTTCTGCTCCATCTGTTTCAAAATCCAAATCACCTTCGTGAGGAACAATATGATGAAACTCCATCCCAGGTGGAATCACCTACAAACACGTGTTGAATACATCAAGTTCAGCAATCAAATTCAACAAATCGCAAAATGACTTTATTGGCTCACCTAGAGCATGAAAGATTGTTTCAAAAATATACTCCCTCCGTCTCTTTTTAGTTGTCTTACTTTCCTTTTTGGGTTGTCCGACAATGAATGTCATGTTTCCTTTTTGGCAAGAAATGTGTGGTCCTAATCATTTCACTTATTAAATATACTCAAATTTCAACCACAACTTTTACTTTTTAAACCATTTTATTAATAATTGTGCCAAACTAAAACAAGACATTATACATCCAATATGGGACGGAGGTAATATTAATTAAAGAATGAAGTTTGGTTTTGAAGATTTTGATTTAAAAGGCTTGTCATATTCATATGCAAACTGCAGAAAACCCTGGGTTCAAGAAACGCTATTTCAAACACCCTAACTTATCAAAAGCAATAGTAAAATTTTATAAAATGTGAAAGAAAATATATACTTACAGCCATGCGTGGCGTAAACCTGCCATAGCAGCTGACATTACGCCGGATCCTAGCACGAAGTTTACGCTCTAGAATTGGATCAAACCCATCATACAAACGCCACTGCTCCTCTATCTCCTGCCGTGTGCTAGTTATGACAATTTCAGAAGCATCAAGAGATAACTCCTCTGCCTCTATCCTACGCATTATTTTGTAGGTTGAGTTTATCTCATCCTTTGACAACCGACCTACTCTCAACAGTTGTTCCAACTTATCTCGTCCAAGTGAGTGACCAGTGAAGAGCATTGGCACATTCAAAGCACCTGACAGAAGAGCAGCAGAGTCACCAGCATCTGCATAATGCCCATGTATAGCAACAGGCCACACAGCACGCCCGCTGCCAATTTGCTCTCCTAGAACTTTTGACATTTGAATAATGTGGTTAAGAGATCCATCAACAAATTCAGGGATGTAAGGCCATAGGTTTTCCTTAGGAATATATTTATCTCTTGGTCCAAATGGAATCCGTATTATATAAGCACCACTGCTCTCCCCCATCTCAGGCATTGATCCCTCGGAACTTAATGGGGTCAACATTTCTGTGGGTTCACCATAACTCCAATCAACTTCTGGAGACGATACTTGTCTTGTGAGAAGGTCAACCCTATATACACCAGGCATAGAGCCTAACGCTCTTGCAAGTTCGACAACATACTTTACCTGAAAGAATTTTAAAACAAAAAAGAAAGAAAGGTCACCCATGATTATTCAAGGCAACGAGAATTGCATGTTGAATTTCTTGCATGAATAAAGAGCCAGTATACGTGATAACAAGACATAACTAAGTGAAACTATTACTAGTGCAAGTGTGCAACCACTTTGAAGTCATGTGTAGTGAGATCTACCTGACCGCCAGTATCAGAGTCACGCCCAAGCTCCATATTCTCACCTCGTATTAAACCATGTAAGCTACAAAATACAAATAATATTAATAATTATTAGTAATTGATAATTCAGGAGGTAGAGGGCATTATTGTGAGGGCGTGTGCATTTTTTGTTGGGGGAGTTCATCAGTTGATAGTTATCACTTATATTAAGATTAAGATAGATCCAAAACAGTGTGTTAAAAAAATAATGTAAAAGGTGCCTTAATAATTATCGCATAACAAAAGCTCCTTAATTATTGATCTTTGCATCAAGATTAGGAGAAAGAAGGATCACTCCTCACCTTATAAGTACAATATACAACTTCTTGCCCTTTTGTTGATTGGCCCAATTCTCCATTGTCTCTGCAGAACTAATTCTAGGTAACCGGCCTCTTGTGCTTTCACCATGAGCTGAAACATCATTGACTGCGTCCCCTTTCTCTCCTTCTGATAAGTCCTCTGACATGTCAGCTACAGCCTCTTTGCGACCCTTCTCAAGTTCTTGGCGGCGTTTTGCCAACCTCTGAGCTTGCTCTCCCTCATACTGCATATACATATGAATATAAATTAGAATGAAAATTCCATGAAGCACCAATTAGAACAATTTATTCTACAACTCCACAACAATGATCGTGCAGCAGACTACTAATTTTCAAGAAAGGTCAGCTCAGTCATGTATCATAAAAAATAAAAACAATAAAAACTATAAAAAAACATAGCAAACACATATATATCGTCAGTCATATTTCGGAGGCCATTGATAGAGCATTGAGTTAGAAGAAGAAAATAAGCAACTACTCCTTGAGTTATGTAGTTTGTGATAAAGAAATTGTATAAGTTAAGCCTCATGATTGAATGACTTTGAAACAAAAACATGACTTCAGAGATTGCTCAGCTGCACCTTTGCTAATCCTCGACTACTTAACCTAAATCATTTAAATGTTCTTAATGTAAAGGTTCTTTAAAAATGTTAACTAATAGAAATAGAACTCAATATGCTTTGTAGAACTCCGTGAAATGTCAAACCTCTAATCCTATAACTGCACTTGTGCAAGTTACGGTCAACATCATTATGCTGAGAATTAACATGCTTGGGCATGTCTTTGACCGAAAAACCCCACACCATAAATTGTGTGCTACACTTAAAATGAGCCATTTCTCTCCAAGGTTGTCACAGTAACTATTCAAGGCATGGCGCCAACAAACCGCCTTCTAACCTAGGTGAGTAGTCAACCACATATTTTATCAAATATACTCCCTCCGGTTCCGAAAGATCTTGACACTTTGACTTCACAGTTTTTAAGGAAATAAACATTGTTTGGCACTGTTTGGCACTATTTGGCACTATTTTGTGTAGATTTATTTGTCAAATAAGGCAAACAAGGAAGTGTAAAGATCTTTCTGGTACTGCTAAAAATGGAAAGTGTAAAGATCTTTCAGAACCGGAGGGAGTAGTATAACATGATGTAATGTATCATCTATGAATTTCACATTTTCCATATTAGTTAAATTGACAGATTCATACCTATTTTCAATGAGTTAACTTATACTACCTCCGTCCCGCTATGATTGTCCCGTTTTACCTTATCGGTCCGTCCCACTAAGATTGTCTCATACCAAATTTGGCAAAGTTTGTGTGGCTCTAAATCATTCTTACTTTATTTTTATTTTATCAATTCAATATCAACCACATAAACCACTTTTTATTGATTTGCGTGTCACTCCCTCTTGTCCCATTGTTAGCGGGACGGAGGGAGTAATACTTTAGTAAAAATCAGTGATGTGGTTCATGTGTCTGTTATATGAAGAAAGTTAACTGCACATTAAATAAAGAAACATAACTAAACAAAGAATAAAAGAAGAAAAGAATAAAAAAGGGAAGAAAGAAAGATGAAAATGAAGAAACAAAAGACAACTTGGTGGCCAGCTCCAGCAGCAGTAATCATTTTGAGTTTTTTTTCTCTTCACACCCCTTACGGAAGAAAACATGACGGGCTTCCAGGTAGAAATTGATTGTACTAAATCATTAATCAATGGTTGATGCCTAACCATTATGGTGATGCCATGAATGCGTAGTTGATGCCTGGGAGGGCATTCAATGTCCAATGCTCTTCAAACAAGGCGACCTGCTACAGAAAGTGCTCTCGACCACCTGGACACGCACTGCCTAGTCCTCGACAACCAAGCTTCTTTTATAGGCGATGTGATGTTATTATATATCTCCACCTTTCAACTAGATGAATTAAAAAGTATAACCTAATATGCTCAACCTATCAAAAACAGATGCACTAAGCACATAGCATATTTTCATCTATTGTATGAAGGTGACTGATTTTAATGTAATTGATAGTTCTTATTGATATCGATAAAAGAAGTGGTAGAAATTGATACTCTGGGTTTTTGACGTATCAACTCAAACAATATGGAGTGTTTTTGTCCCCTCTATTCTCCACAGGAAAAAGAAAAGTGATACTTATTGCCATTGTCCGAAACTGGCCAAAAAGTTATCTTTATACTATCAACCAAATATAATAATTGTGCCATGATTTTAAATAAACCCATGGTAAGATGTCAATATAGGTTCTTCGAGGTGTTTGAAACCTCATAGCATATAGAACACGAGTTTTTTTAGTCATAGTTTTGATTAATCCGAAGTCAATGCATCTTCCCCATTTTGTCTAAAGACATTTTTTGGTCAAATGTGGTTTTTAGTGTTGAAAATTGAAATGCGCTTTAATTTCATTTCCCTAAACGTCACACACTTACCAGTGTACTTAAATCCAGGTACATTTGAGCATTAACATATTATACAGCATTAGGAAGACGTTACGGGTGACGTTACCAAACATATAACGAGCACATAAATGTAATGACGATTCCCTTGTCCGGATCGTTGTAGCCAAACTAGACGTCAATAGATAAAATCAATGCAAACAAAGAAAGTAACAACCATTTTGATAAATTATTGTTGCATTTTTTTAAGTTCTTATCAAAACATTAATACTCTAGAAGCTAAAAACAATAAAATCAATGTACAAAAAGATAACAACCATTTTGACAAATTATTGTTCCCCTTTTTTCAATGTTATTTTTTATCAAACGTGGTTTTAGTGTTGAGAAGCACGATGATTTTGTTTTCCTGAAAAACCGTCCCAAACGTATCAGTGACCCTTAAGAAAAATTCTTGTTGTACACAAAATTAGTACACAAATTGTACACAACCCCCCTAGTTGTCTATGTACACAAGCAATTCGTTTGAAAAGGGGCAGGATTTTATGCCATATTGCGTGTGCACAGACAGTGAATTTGTGTACAAATTTTGTGTACACCAAGAATGGCTAGTCCGTTAATGCGGGTAATTTTGAGAACTCGCATATTAGACGGCGTGAGGAAAACGTTACAAATGACGTAGCCGTCACAACAATGATACGACGACTCCTTTGTCCACATTGTTGTAGCCAAAACTAGCCGTTAACAGGTAAAATCAACGGGCAAACTGTAAGTAATAACCATTTTGATAAATTCTTGTTGCGTTAGTTTTCAAGCTTCTCATCAAAACATGCATACCCTAGAAGCTAAAAACAAAAGACACCTTGGAAAAAATTTCAAAAAAAAAAACAGAGAAGATCCATAGTCATAATCAACAGGCACCATAACCTTGAGCTTGAATCCCAAGAACTAATATATAACTGAAACTTCACTGTCAATTTTCAAGATATAAGCTCAAGGAATCACCCAATGCATAGTCCTTCTGCTGTCCAGATACAACACGTATACATGAACTTACAGCACCAAATCATTTCTATAAAGAGTGAAGAAAGCACAACCTGCTTTTTCTGGCGAGCCAGATTCCAAATCCGCCAGCACATGTTCTCTAACCTTGTATTCCTCTCTTGGGGGCTCCGAGTTGCTTGTGCCTATCAACCATAACACACATACGTTGATCACAATTCAAAAGCAACTAGGTATCAACACAAACAACACATAAACATCATGTACAGATAATAAGCACAGAAGGAGACTAACTTACTCGGACCCAAGATCGGTAAAGATCAGTCTCATCGAAGCCAGTGATCACTTCGGCGACGAAGTAACGGGTAGGGCTGAACCTGCCCCTCTCCCTGAGCAGCAGAGACGATTTGGTATCATCTAGCCCCGGCCCGACATCCAGTATCGCTTCCAAGTAGCTGTTAATCCAATCATTTCCGGCCATTTCTTCCCCTCAACACAGCACCGCTACCGCCTTGCTGCTCCTTCAGATGTGACTCACTGCGTGAATATGTTTATAACGTCTCCTGAATACAAGCAGAGATGACGCGACAAGGCCCCTGTAGACCAAAAACACATGAGATAGACAGAGAGAGAAGTGTGGTCCAGTAAGCGAGAGATATGATGCTCATATATAGGATGCTTGGATCACAAAATGCGCTATTTTAGAAAGCGGTAAATTTCTTTTTGCATAAACAAACTTTCTCGCACTTTCATGTTCAAAATCCTCCACTTTAAAGCTAAATAAATTACATTTGTATTCCTCGTTTCAACCCCAACGCCAACGCCTCCACGCCATGATGCGATAAGATAAAATATTTGAGAGCTCGTAAATGATGATGAATTAGTCACTTCAATGATGGTGTAGTAGACATTGAGGTCCAGTCCAGCACGGGAGCTATAATTTCACAAGGTCCGTACGAGTTTTGTTCATTGATTCATGTTTCAACTTTCAAATCACTCGATCAACTGAGTTACTCATGCGGATAAGTACATTTGTATTTCTTAAGTTATCCTAAAGCTACCATTTTCTCAATACTACAATTTTTCAGAATGAAAAGCAAATTTGTACATGAGTGCAAAGACCTTCACAAGACAACATTCATCTAATCAAGGATCGAGAGCTTAGTATGTTGGTAATCAAATTCTTTTGTTCATCCAAATAATATAAAAATAAAGTAAGAAAAGTAACTCTTTTAAACTTACCTCAATAGTCAGTCACAAATCACCATAAACTTTTTCTGGTTTGTGGTGTACTGCAAATGAATTTAGAGTCTCTATTATAGCTAAACTCATCTACATCTTTTCTACCTCGTTTATCATATGAAGGGGATGATAGTTTGCTAGTTTTAGAAGGTAGTCTTTTACTTGGGTCAACAAAAGAGGATGAACATTGCAAATGTCTCCGACCAATCTACAATAGTTAATTGACTATGGCAACTCATAGTTACTCTGTCTCTTCCTAAGATTGAGCTTCTTGAAAGCTCTTTAGCTTCCTTTAACATCATTACCATCTAATGGAGAGGGCTATGATACCTTATTCATTACCTTATGTTTCTTCGCCTTGAACTTCGTCAATGGTTTTTGGTTCTTGTAGCATGAAACAACTTAGTATTCTTATCTTTGATTGTGATATTGTCGCTACACCTTCATGAACATTGCTAATAACTTTGTTCACTACATGGTGACAGATAGGATGAGATGCATTATGTGTTTCTTATATATGTCTCGATTTCTTTGTCAATAGCATCTTGAGGCAAGGGAGCTTTTGGCCTTATGGGGGTCATCGATCCTAAATGAATGCTTATAGTATTTAACAAAAGTGTGTTGATTGGAATGTATGGCTCACATTTATACCTTTGTTTCTATTTGTCTCCATCAGACTTAGCTTTTTATTGCAATTTGGGTCATTCAGACTTCACCTTTTTATTGTTTTCATGTATCACATGAAGTAATTCTTCTTACCATAAGGATAAACACATGCATCTATCAATGTCTTGATTTCATGTAGTTATAATGCAAGTTTGAATTGTCATAGTGTTTTAATTATCATCTTGGAGATTTTGAAGTGAGATACATGTGATTATGGTTGAATGTGTGCCACATCTTAGATCATTTTCTCTCATAAATCAACTAAATTATTTAACAAGTACAACAAACTGAGATCACCATAATATTCATATGATTCACTTTCCCCTTTTTCGCTAATATGAAAGGACATAGTCCAACATAACAACTAGAGCAACCTCTTTACTTGGCTCTTCGTGAGCCACTTTATTCCATAACTTCAATTCAAACTCATGTTTCTTGAGATCGCTAAATAATTAGGCAATCGAAAAGATTTTGAGATCTTAGTTACCCCTTATTGGTGTGATCATTATGACCCAACTTGGTTGTGGGACTGTGACTCCAAAAAAATCAACATGTTGAAAGGCATTCTCATATTATGGGTTTAATGCACCAAACCCCCTCGTGATATAGAAATTCAGCACATTAGTCTCATGTGATTTAAAAATGTGTCAGACCCTCCGTGTTATAATTATTCATAATATCTTGTTTTGTCTATTTTTACAGGACCTTTGAGTAATTCGAGTGCTTAATTAATGTGTTTCAAGTTTTAAGTTGATTGTGATTGCTTCTGATTTTTTGTTAGTTGTATGAGTGTTGAAGCCCTCCCCCCAAACAAATATAGAAGACTGTGAACACAAAAGAACTTTTCAAGTCACGTCATTACCATCGCTATGAGCAATTAGCATCATTGAAGCCAACAAGCCACAACAAGAAGAAAAAAAACACTATCAATTAAATACCACTAGCAATGTTAGGAACATCCAACCATAAAACATCATTGAAATCTTGATCTCAACTTCGTGCTCCCCTCATCACCACTCGTCCTCCATTGAACTGTGTTTAAGGTTGCATCCCTTTCAAAGAAACACATAATGAAGAATCATTCAAGTAGGGAAAAGGAATCTCATCACCACAGAACTTGCTATGCAAGAGCCAATGAAAGTATCACTAGAAATCTCTAGGTTTGACAAATCTATTTCTCCATTACATCGAAGAACAAAAACCATCTCGCATATGAATCAATTTTTAGGGGATATGGAATTGTCTTATTGTCCCAAGTCTTAAATTTTACTAACTTTAGGGTATCTACCATAACTGGTCTTTCACGTACACTTTTGTTGACCTACAAATACATCTCATGTTAAGAACTTTAAGAAAACTCACACACTAAATTTATATTTTATTTTTAGATTACATATTGTTTCTCTTTTTTCTCTTCTATATTAGAAACCCTAAACTTTATTGTATATCATTTCATTTAAGGATTAAAACTATTTCTAGATCTTCATTGGGTGACTTCTCACTTACACAAGGAAAGTTTATTTTATTGCTTTTATTTAAATGTCCATGTTTTAATATTTAGTTCATATTTTTCAATTGTAAATTAAGTTATTACTTCACTATGTATGCATGCATGACTTGTTAATTAACTTACTCATTATGTAACCTTATACTTTTTTGCAACTGATTGAACACTTCTTGGAAATTTATATGTTCCTATAATCACGAGTTGAAACACTACTTAAAACTCGTGAGCCATGAATTGAGTCACTCATTTACTTCCTTAGAAATCCTCATGATTCCTATATCACAGACTGCATAATTCCTTAGGTATCTTTATGACTCCTCAAGCCTGAGATTTACTTAATCCCTGCATATCCTCGCTCTTCTTCAACCATGGATTGAACTAAATCTACGGATTGAAATTTACCTAACTATTCTGATCCTTAGCTTCGGATTATTCAATCCGTCGGTATACGCTTGCAAAGATTTTGAGGGATTAACTAAAATCGTATATACTTGATAATTCTTTTCGATCTATGGGCACCCGTATCTCTAATTAAATTTCCACAACATGCCAAAATATATTTCAAATAATACACCATTCTATTGTTAAAATATATTTAAATAAATGAAAATTTACCATATGAGATGGAACAATTATTGTTTTTTCTAAATGTTATAGTTAAAATAAAAATTAACAATTTTAAAATGGATCATTTTTAGGCTTACTTTAAAGGAATGTTTTCTTTATACAATGTAGCCTTTCTGGAAAAGAGTGCTTAACCCTTTTAGTACAATTTTCAGAAATACTTTTGAGAAAGTTTGTAAGGAAAAGGGGCATATTTTTTATCGAGTGTGAAACAATATCCTTCGTATATTATTCAGGGTTGAATTCATAGTTTGAGCTATTAATGTTATATCCTTAGACCCCGTAGGTATTTATATTTTACTCTCAATAGACTATATACTTGAGAGTATTTGAGCAAATGAGGTCCTTATTGTGATAAAAGTTATATAGTAAATGTTCTTGGTGAACCCTCAAAACCATATTGGAAGGTTGGGGTAAACGCGTAATACCTTCATTAATGTTTTTTATTAATCTGATATCATATGGTAAATGTTGTTTTAACATGTGAAATGAATACCCCTATCAATAGAGCGTTGTTTGTCAAGACTTGGATTGAGTCCCCGCCGAGGAAAAGAGGACCAAGTGAGTGGAAGAAGTCCTAAGAAAGGTATCTTTGGGTATTAGATGTACCGGTTTTGAACTAGTACACAACTATAAATAACTATGTCATTTTATTTACATGCTATTGTGTTACAACTCATATACTTTATACTTTTTTTAACGTTGTGGGGAAATCACCTAATTGGGTGGGGTAAATGTTGTGGCAAACCTTACATGTAATAATAACATGATCAGAAGTAAGGAAAACCAAGTGAATCCGAAATAATAGATTTTTTAATCAAATGGTGTGCATCACTAAGGTTATGAAAAAAATTAAGGAATTAAATTGATTGCTCGAGCTAGTTGGACGAGTTTGGGATAAGAAGTGTGCAAACCAATTAGCTTATCGGTAGATGTGTCTGAATGCTACATTTGCCCTTCTGCACTCTGTTCGAATATTTGCTAGAGTATTTCTCCATCGTCCGTCATATTCATTGTCGCTCAACGGGGAGGTTAATCTCCGAAAGTCAGTCTCCATACCAAAGCGTGAGTACTTGTTGTCGATTGCCCACCTCAAATCTACTGAACAAGCTTGTATTTTCGCCTCAAAAGGAGATTCTGATGAAAGAGGAACGCTCAGTCCAGCGACGAGGTTATCTTTGTAGTCTCGCAACAAAGCTCCTCCTGAAGATTTACAAGGTATATACGAAGCATCAACATTAAGCTTCCGTTCAGACTTGGGTCGAACCCATCTAACCAACAAAGCCTTAGTCTTTACTTTCTTGATATTTGAAGAAATCAGATTTTCTGAATGTAAGCAATCATAAGCCATATTAGATTTGAAGCTCTTCAAAGTGGTCGACCATTCTTGAGTAAATCTTTTGATTTGATAAATCAAATCATATGATGATGGAGCTGTTGATCTATTACCACACACCATGTCTGAATAAACCTTCCAAATATGCCATAATATTATCCTAGGCATATTTTTTTGAAAATATCATAAATGGATTTTTTTTTCTCAATTTTATCCACCATGTCAGACTTGTTTAAGCGAACACTGTTATTGAGGTATAGCAAGGGCAAAACATCTCATGAAATATCTCCAGACTTCATTCATCATTGGACAATGATAAAAAACATGATCAACATTTTTTGAATCCTTCTTGTACATAAGACACAAAGTAGGGAAAGTCATAGCTCTGAATCTTACAAGATTTTCAGCTATAGGTAGCATTTGATTTAGAAGTTTCCATCGGAAAATCTTAATTGAAGGTGTTTGGTTGTTATGCCGTATTTGTTTTGCTAAAAAGGTGATAGATTTCTTCCAATGAACTTCTTCATAGGCTGAAGATATGGAGAAGTGACCATCTATATCAGGTAACCAAAAAAAGATTCCCTTTGGGTCTAAATATGTAAACACCCCTCTTATTAATATTACAGATTATTCTCCAAATGCTAGAGTCAGTTACCTTAGGGGTCATATTTGCACCCATGTGATATCAGGCACGACATAATTTGGCCAAAATGACTTGTTAAGCTTCCATTTCCACCATAGTTTCAATGAAAAAGCTTTTTCTATATGTGTGAGTAAATGAATCAACCACAGAATATCAATTCTAAGTCAATTTCAACAATGGCGACAAGAAAATCATTCATTGACCACAATAAATTCTACTAAAGTTGCCACCTTTAAGAAGTTATTATTAAAGAAAAGATAATGAACGTACGTAACCTTGAAGATTTTATTCTTGAATTTGTTCAGGATTTATTCTCATATTAGTAACGTTATCATACTTCATAATTACAAAAAAAAACATAAATATTTGTAGTTATACTTATGTATGCATACATGAATGTTTGTGTGTTGTGCACATACACGTCAACATATATGTGGATGGGGGGCTCCACACCAAGTGAACACAATGTTAATTACTTTATTTGATTGAACATTGTGGTAAAAATGGAATCCACAATCAATTAAACATTATAAGTTTCACAACGTTCATGCATTTATATATCCTCATCCCTTAGATCTATCAATTTTTTTCGCTACCTTCCACTTTCGTCATTACAAAAAATCAATATCCATCATTAATACCTACCACCATTGTTCAAGGTCCATCTGCATCATTCTTGTAGCCCCATATATTATAGGCAGCCTCATAACCACTTGCCACAATTAGCAACCACCACTTGCATAGGCAAATCATCACCTTAACTCTTAAGTGATAACAATCATCGGGTGTGACCATTGTAATAGATTGCTGACACAAGTAATATTTTAATTATTACTCTTAGTCACTAAGCTACTATGGCCTCATTAACCGCCATCGGCGCAAGTGATCATCGTTGCCATTGCCAATGATTGTCAAAACCATCATGATCCCATCATGGACCACCGGGCTCTTCAATGAGCATTGTCATTGTAGGTTGTTGACACCCTCGTTGCCAATGACTATTAGTCACCGACAACCACAGTCACTATCAGGTACCATTTATTCTACCATATATGGACCACCACCTCTGAAATTCGCTACCATCGACAATGGTTCGTGATCAACCCTGTGAACCACTATTACTTTCGGTAATCACACCGAGTAACACCAATTAATGATAGTATATCCACAAGTAACAAAAGACTATTACTTATCACTGCCACTAACAACTATGATATGAAGTACAATATTTGTGTCGATAGAGATGTAGTTATTTTAAGATTTTGCGCTCATTGACTAAAAATCAATGATTTTTTATAAAACAAAGAAAGAATTAGACCAAAAATCTAAAACATAACAATGTGGTGTAATTGATGACTATTTTACAAAAATAAAGTACAAAGAATACCAACAACTAGTGGCACACAATTTAAGGGAAAATGGAATTCACTAGAGATATTTTTATTTGATTAAATAGAGACATTCTTAATTTTTCTTGTCTACTTATAATTGTCACAAATGGATAAATAAATAGACATTACATAGAGAAAGCTCTCTTATAAAACAAGAATTTGGCAAGCATCTCATCTCTCAAATAGAATGTCTAAAAGACATTGACATGGAAATATCAGAATTGACAGATTCATACGTAGTATGATATACCAAACATTATTTCATGAACAAAGAAAGAATGACACTTTAAAATGTTTTGATGTACATTATTAATGCTTGGTCACTATCTCCAAGATATGAATCACTGGGGTAGAATGCATAAATGTTATCTTAATTGTCAGTAATGATGCATTTTATTACCTTAAGTTTTAAATGAATCAAATCAGTATCACACTTACATTTAAATTGAACAGTTGGTACAATGGTACCATTATGAGTTTCGGCAAAAATTCAAATGTTAGCAAGACTTCAATATATGCAATATAGTAACTATTTGTATCCATATCATTATGAGAAAAATAATTAAAATACCCCAAACTTTGAAGGGGTGTGAGATGAACACTCCAAACTTTCATATGTAATTTAAATACCCCAAACTTTATATAAAAGTTATTTTAGCACCATAGGCAAATATTATTTCATTCAAAAATGTAAATTTATGGTGTTTATTGCATAATTTAAAATATTTTAGAATTCATAGGACACAATTAACATTCTAAACTTCCATTGCAAAATAAATAATGTTACCCGATCGGGCTAAACTTGCAAGTGTACAAGTGCTGATATAGTAATAAATTCCGGTAAAATACCGGGTCGAATCCACAAGGAAACGTTGTTTAATTCAAGTCCGAGAGTAGATAGCTTTAAATGAAGAAATGAGTAAAGTGCAGGGATTTTGATTTGTGTTTTATATTTTTGGTTTTTCACTTTTTGTTCACGAAGATAATTGTTAACTAATTTTGAGTTTAAGATGAATAATAACAACAACTAAGGCTTCGGGGATCACTTAAATGCTTAAATAGGGTTGAATATTAGTTCTTTGCCAATAATTATAAATACGATGTCGCTAATATATTCTCAACTCTGGTTAAGGCGCGAGAGCGTGGTTTTCGTTACGTGTAAGTCCCGTTATGGCTTACATTCATCTACCGAAAACCCCGTTGAATATCAAGACATCACACCCGTATCATATAAGACCGGATATATTTCTATTCCCGGTACTATATATGTTTATCCTTTAATGTTCATAGTTTAGACTTCAACGTTAATCGCAAGTATAAACTAAATTTAACATACTTCTATGTTGTACACCATAGTCATAAACAATCAATGATTTAGAACTTTTATCAAACACCTAGTGGGCATAGAAGTTCATCCCTAGCCTTAGCTAAGAAGTTAGCTACTAGTGCTCATATTAATCACAATACAATAATGAAATGTAATGGAACATGAAATTACAAAAGAAACAATACCTAAATACCAATGATTTCGGAGGATGAACTTCCCTCCTCAAGAACTTGAAGAAAAATAGCAAGAACAAAATATAAAAGCTAGGAATTAATATATGGAATGGAATGTATTTGTATGATGAATTGAGGGCTTTATATAGGCTAAGTAATGGCATCTTTTGGTCTATTCGAGCCCAACAATTCGGAAGGGAAGAAATATTTGATGAAATCATGAAGAAGGTGAAGTTTTCCCATCAAAAATATGGAGCACGTCGTTGTGTTTTGTGCAGAATCGACCTACCCGGCGCCGGTTTCAGGCCTACCCGGCGCCGGTTCTTTATTGTGCGCAGCAAAATCTGGAAAAATGGGGTACCCGGTGCTGGCCATCAGGCCTACCCGGCGCCGGGTAAGCTACTGGATAGTGCCTTGTGCAAAAATCATCAGACCGACGCCGGTTTGGTGCAATTCTGGTGCCGGTTTTGTCTTGGGATTTTGGGGATGTTTCGCTATGAATTTGGACATGATACCTTCACCAAAGTTGTAGATAATGAAGTATCTATCCACCAAAACTTTAATGACATGATTTTAGTCATCCAATCAAAAGATATGGATAAAACACTACGAGGTATGCATCCTGAAATCCCACCAGCAACATCTGGCTTTATTGGTTGATTGAGTCTTGATCCTTTCATATTCCGACCATGACGTTTTCATAAAATTTGTACCTTGTTGAGTTAAAATTCACATGAAATTCGAGTTGAGTGATTTCGAGTTCTCTACAATAAGTTATACTCAAATTATGGGCAGAACGTCATCCTTTTGGTCCCAAAAGCCGTTCATCACAATGTTTTATGCTTTAGCTCTCGTTTTGAAGGTATTTTCTCAAATTGTCTTCTTTTCTTCAACAAATACTTATAAATACTTATGTTAAACACAAGTAAATAAAATGGCTATCAAATTCCCTCACACTTGAGCGTTGCTAGTCCTCGAGCAATGTTATCACCTTTGGATGCCTTGGTTAGTTTCAACAAAAATATATGAACAAAAATAATTTTAATTTTAATAGAGGTAAAAAATTTGTAAACTCTTTTATCGTTCTCGGTCCAAAACCAAATTTCTATTAGACACACAAAACTATCATTAGATTTAGAAAAATTACTTATACCCTTGAGTGGATTGTGACTATGACTTTTTGGGTGTGTAGGATGGTTTTTTGGTGTGTTTGACTTTTCAGTATAGAAGTGGATCAGTTGAAATTCTTGAAAGAGACCGTGATTTTTTTTAATAACTCATTTGAATTGGTTCTCAACAAGCATTTACTGAAAGTCATTTTGATCATCCCAATTTATTTGATGAGATATGGGGTGGCTTGTTTTCCGAAATGGTTCTTGAATATTTGAGATGTACTTAAACCATTTTTGGAAATGGAAGAAGATGGTGTTTCCTAGTCACAAGGTTTATTTTGGGAATGGTTTTCAAGAGTAAAGAGTAATGTAAAAAATCTAAAAAAAGGATAGTTTTTTTTTGTGAATACTCAAACCTTTCTCAAACAAATTAGCCATTAAAAAGAGAATTATCACACCTTTTACCTTCCTAAAGAAATTACTTTGTACACAAAATTTGTTTAATTAACCATGAGTTGCACCCCACACTTGAGATACATTGTCCTCAATGTAAGTTGGAGAATGTGATGAAAGATGAAATCCTCGATAGTGGAACGAGGTGTTCTTGAGAGTAGGAAATCCATGATACCTGAGTTGAGATGATGATTTCTGTTTTAATTTTTTTATTTTGTTTTTTGTTTTTTTTTATACCTGAGTTGAGTTGAGAGGTATGCATCCTGAAATCCCACCAGCAACATCTGACTTTATTGGTTGATTGAGTCTTGATCTTTTCATATTCCGGCCATGACGTCTTCTTAACATTTGTACCTTATTGAGTTAACATTCACATGAAATTCGAGTCGAGTGATTTTGAGTTCTCTACAATAAGTTATACTCAAATTTTGGGCAGAACGTCATCCTTTTGGTCCCAAAAGCCATTCATCACAATGTTTTATGCTTTAGCTCTCATTTTGAAGGTATTTTCTCAATTTGTCTTCTTTTCTTCAACAAAAACTTATAAATACTTATGTTAAACACATGTAAATATAACGGCTATCATTACCTCCAATCTATATAATTGCAACACTTTTAATTTGCTATTTTAAATTATGCAATTAACCCCATAAATTTACATTTTCGAAAGAAATAATACATGACAATGGTGCGAAAATAACTTCTTATATATAGTTTGGAGTGTTTAAATTACATATACAAGTTTAGGGTGTTTACCTCACACCCCTTCAAAGTTTAAGAAATTTTTATTATTTTTCTATATCATTATTGTACATATAGTTATAGGCGGGAGCATATATATAAACTATGTTCTGTAAACTGTTACATGAGTAATCCTTTCTTTTGCTTTAAAAAAAAAGTTATAGGCTAGAGCAATCAAAAAACAAAGTTGTAGGACATGGGAATTCAATCCACATCCCTTGCTTTATCTTTCCCTCAATCTCTCAGCACACCACCCAACTACTTGTTAATCTAAGGGAATGAAAAAGGTATTAATATTTTTTACTTGGTCGCTGAAAATTGTTAAGACTTATTTTGTTAACACTTAAATTGGCTGAATTGCCTGAATATATTAAAATTGATGAAGTTCTGGTTGGAATTGAATTGACTTAATCTACTAAATTGTGAAAAAATATACATATTTTTCAGAATAATTATTAATAAATAAAGAAAAAATATATGAGAAATAATTAAAATATTCTTCTTTAGCAATTCCATCCAAAAAAGTAACTCCAGTCTTACTTATTTGAAAATATGGATAAGAATAATCCCAACTATGAGTGATCTGCTTGAAATAATTCAAATTATCAATTATCTCAAAATAATCCCAACTATTGAAAAACCTTCTCAAAATACTCCGGTGACTTATAATTTTCCGTAAATAACTTATACTCCCTCCGTGTAACACCCCCAAATTTCTCACCCAAAAATACATTTAAATAACGATTTATTGGAAAGTATTATTAGCTTTATTTGAAAACATCACAAAATGTGCAGCGGAAAATTCAAAGGGAAATAGGGGTGCTACCGCCACACTCGGTTCTCTCTTAACCGAGTGCACAAGCTAAAACAACTTAAACTTCAAAATCAAAAACTCACTGATTAAAGTTATTGAAAAGAAATTTACAATGATTTACTAATAATGTTTTCTAGCGAAAGCTCTCTCTCTCGAAATCAACTTCAACATCGATCAACTCAACATCTGTACAAAAATCATGTACAGAAAGAAAAATAAAAGAAACAAACATTAGCAATAATGCTAAGTAAGTTCCACCTAACCTTTTAAAATAATAATAAATACTATATATAAATTCGTACAACCTCATAAAATATTTTTCAAAACACTTTATAAACCATAAATCCTAAGTAAACGATATCTATATAAAATCCCAATCACATAGTTAACTTGTAAACCATAATAATTCCAAAATACATGAAACACCAAACTTCTCCTCTTTTGAATTTCTCCCAAAATCACTTTGTATCTAACTTCCTAATAATTTAGAAGGGCGGTGCTCAACACTTTGGTTGAGCCCGGTGGTCCGTTGTTATGTACGGCCACCCCGGAACTATCGCCGGTACCACAACTGCTCCTTGGAAACGGAAACAACTACTTTAAGTGTGCACACCCCCTAAAGGTATTCCAAGCCCTCCGGGTTAGTAAGTCGATCCGGGTAGTCAGGATGTTTTCTACCAACTATCCCACCTCAAAAACTGAATGATTAGAAGCTACTACTACCACTACTACTCAAAAGCCGGGATGTTTTCTACCGACCGTCAATTCACCTCAAACCAAAACCAACAAAAATTGAGTAGTAGTAGACCTAACCACCCTCCACATTTTAAGGGACGTGGAAAACCGACACCACGGATTTCTCCCGCGATGCCCACTCTTTATGAAAATATTTATTCTTCTTTGTCTTCTCAAAATCATTCGAAGTTCGTACCTTAAAAATTTCCTTTTTGTCAAATTCCACAAGGATAAGAAATTTACGTACTATTACAAAATCTCCCAAAATCATATACAATAACTCATATCAATAAAATAATATATAAACTAATATCTCAAATACAACCCTTTCGTATAATAATATTCACTCAAATTCAGCACACATAAATTCAATTCTCAAATATGCACACAAAAATATTTGAAAGAAAACACGAAGAAAAAGAACTAATTTCGGTTGACGTGAAACTTACCTTAAATCCAAATGCTCCTACTTCTCTTCCTCAATTCCAGTCTCTAAATGAGCACCTTTTTAATTTAGATGATATAATTAGTCACTTATTCTATTTATAATTTATTTTATTCAATTTTCCCCTTTTATTTCCTTATTCGAATTTATTAAATTAATTTATTAGTTATTCGAATTTATTTGATTAATCACTTTTTATTAATCAAATTACCTTATTAATTCCGCCATTAATTACAATATTTGAATTCTAATAAAATATCCGACTATAATTAACCACAACATCCAATTTTTATTCAATAATCACCATTAATTTACTCTACTCATAAATTATTATCTAATTACTTTATTTATATTAACCCATTAATTTATGAATTCAAATATTTTAAATATTTATATGAAGTCCGAATATCTAATAATAAATCATAAAAATTATTAATTGAATTAGTCCACTAATTACATAACTAAGTTATTTATTAAGTCTACACATAGTCAATTATTTATGTTAGCTAATCCAACCTTATTTTATTTTCCTTATTTTATTCCAACATCATTTTTTTTGTTCAGAATATTATTTTTCAATCTCAGTGATTTATTTATTTCACCATTAATATTAATATTTCCTTATTTAATTACTTAACTAGTTTTATATGGCCCAATTAAATTAAATAGACTAAGAATCTACTTTATAAATTAATAACCGTCTATAACTATATTTTGGGTCTATATTTGACCTAGGTTGTCCAGATATCTATTTTATAATTATTTTCCATAATTATTCCTTTAATTTCATATATGTATTAACCGGTTCAATTACAATTAAATATACTAAATCTTAATATTTATTAATTATAAATGGTCCATAAGGTCCTAGTTAGTCATATATTTATCCTAGTTTACTCCAATATTTATTTCATAATTATTTTCGTTATTTAGTTAATTATTTACTAAATGTGTATAAATTGGCCCAATTACAATTAAATCAATTAAAAATAGCTAAAAATATTATTTTTCAATTATGGTTGGTCCGAATATGTATATTTATACTAGGTATTTAATTTATATTTTTCCAGATTTTATTTATTTGATTTACTATTTTATTTTTAATTTTTATTAAAACTGGGCCGAACTGGCTCATTAAACCGACCCGGCCCAAGAGTTCTGACCCAGACAACTGGGTCATCTTCTCCAGGTCGATTCCGGCGACTTTGCCGGAAACTAGAAAACTCCGGCGAGCTATAACTTGACTTACAGATAACGGATTTCGACGATTCAAGTTGCAAAATGATCCTTGCGGCGAGACGAAGCTCCTCCACCCCTATCTACAGCAAAATATCTGCTTTTTATAAAGACCCGCTTCCACAACTTGCAACTCCGGCGAGCGATATCTCTCTCGTTTCACGACCGTTTTCAACGATTCTTTTTCCGTTGGATTCGTATCACGAAGGGGAAGGTTTTTAGAGTATTTTTACGGTTCTGTTTTGGCTAAAACGAAGTGTTGCGTTTTTCATATACATATATACGTGTATGTATATATATGTGTGTGAGTGTCGAACTCTGGTTGGGAATGGAAGAATTCGCAGGTCTGAGGGTGATATTTATGGGTGTAGGTCGAGGGTAGATAGCGTTAGAGTTGGTGTTAAATTCGAGTTCTTCTCCACCCGTCGGTAGTTTATCTCCCGTAAGAGTTTGAGATATGTTTTGCCGTTAAGTGGGATAATATCGGAGGAGTTCAAGCTCAATTACGATTCTGTATATAGTAGCTTAGTTCACCGTAGGAACATATTTTCTTTTCTTTTTGTACTACGTAGGTTTTTTTTTTTGTTGTTGTTCAGTTTCATTAATAAAGTGTATGCATGGTTTTATGCATTAGGAGTATATATTAGTATTAGAAAAGTCAACATACAACTTAAAAAAAATTATTTTCATGCTAAAACGTTACATCTATTATCGGACCATTTTTATCTGACTAAAAATGTCACAAATGCTAAATTTTTGTCTGGTTCGCTGATTTAATAAAATGCTGTTTCTATTATTAAAATATTTTTATCTGACTAAAACGTCATAAATTTTGAAATTTTATCTGATTAGGATGTTATAACTGTTGAATTTTTGTCTGGCTCAATTAATTATAAAAATGTTATTTTTGCAATATTTTATCTGACTAATTAAAATTATTTTTATTTTTATTTAAATTTTTGGAGTGTCACATTCTACCCTCCTTAAAAGAATGTTTCGTCCCCGAAGAATAAGCTAAAATAACCAAATTCTTAAGTATTACACTCCGTCCCGCTAAGATTGTCCCATTTTACCTTTTCGGGAAATCTCACTAAGATTGTCTCATACCATTTTTGGCAAAGTTTGTGTGGCTCTTAATCATTCTTACCTAATAATATTATTAGTAATATTATTAGTAATACTAATAATAGTAATACTAATAATAGTAATACTAATAATAGTAATACTAATAATAGTTATACTAATAATAGTAATACTAATAATATTTATACTAATAATAGTAATACTAATAATAGTAATACTGATTATAATACTAATAATAATACTAATATTACTAATAATAACAATAATAATTATAATAATAATACTAATAATCATAATAGTAATACTAACGGTAATACTAATAATAATACTAATAATAATAGTAATAATAATCAATAATAATGATAATAATGATGATGATGATGATAATGATGATGACGATGATGATGATGATGATGATGGTGATAATAATGGTGATAATAACGGCGATGATGATGATAGTAATAATAATAATGATAATACTAATAATAATAGTAATAATAATGGTAATGGTAATGATAATGGTAATGGTAATGGTAATGGTAATGGTAATGGTAATGGTAATGGTAATGGTAATGGTAATGGTAATGGTAATGGTAATGGTAATGGTAATGGTAATGATAATGGTAATGGTAATGGTAAAGGTAATGGTAATGGTAATGGTAATGGTAATGGTAATGGTAACGGTAACGGTAACGGTAACGGTAATGGTAATGGTAACGGTAATGGTGATCGTAATAGTAATCGTAATAGTAACAGTAAGAATAATAGTAGTAGTAATAGTAATAGTGATAGTGATAGTAATAGTAATAGTAATAGTAATAGTAATAGTAATAGTAATAGTAATAGTAACAGTAACAGTAACAGTAACAGTGACAGTGACAGTGACAGTGACAGTAACAGTGACAATAACAGTAACAGTAACGGTAACAGTAACAGTAACAGTAACAGTAACAGTAACAGTAGCAGTAGCAGTAGCAGTAGCAGTAACAGTAGCAGTAACAGTAACAGTAACAGTAACAGTAACAGTAAGAGTAACAGTAACAGTAACAGTAACGGTAATGGTAACGGTAATGGTAATGGTAATGGTAATGGTAATGGTAATAGTAATAGTAATAGTAATAGTAATAGTAATAGTAATAGTAATAGTAATAGTAATAGTAATAGTAATAGTAATAGTAATAGTAATAGTAATAGTAATAGCAATAGCAATAGCAATAGCAATAGTAATAGCAATAGTAATAGCAATAGTAATAGTAATAGTAATAGTAATAGTAATAGTAATAGTAATAGTAATAGTAATAGTAATAGTAATAGTAATAGTAATAGTAATAGTAATAGTAATAGTAATAGTAATAGTAATAGTAATAGTAATAGTAATAGTAATAGTAATAGTAATAGTAATAGTAATAGTAATAGTACTCCCTCCGTCCCGGTCATTTCTTCCAACTTTCCTTTTTGGACCGTCCCAATTAATTCTTCCAGCTTTCACTTTTGGAAAAAATATGTGGTTCACAATCATTCACTTTTTTCTTACACAACTACAATCATACATTTTCACTTTATTCCCACTATCTAAATTTGCGATACCGGTCAAAACCGGAAGAAATAACCGGGACGGAGGGAGTGATAGTGATAGTGATAGTGATAGTGATAGTGATAGTGATAGTGATAGTGATATTGATAGTGATAGTGATAGTGATAGTGATAGTGATAGTGATAGTGATAGTGATAGTGATAGTGATAATCATAGTCATAGTAATAGTAATAGTAATAGACTAATAGTAATAACAACAACAACAACAACAACAACAATAATAATAATAATAATAATAAACCGTTAATTTTGTGGTTGTGTGCTATTTAATATATAGATTTGTGGTTAGATACTTTGCTAACTAATTGAAACTTTTATTTGATATTTTTATTTTAAATTTTTATATACTAAGGTGATATTGATACTTAATTAGTTTTAGGATGTTATTCCTTACTAGATACTTGGCTAGCGTACTGGAGTTTTTTCTTGCAAAAAAAGAACTGAGAACCTGGATCGAATCGGCTCGTTTCAAACGGGGCGGCCGGACGGGTATATGGTCTTGATCATATTTAAGTTTCGGTGTATTCGAAGCGAACCTACCCATTAAATGGAACCGGTGGTTCATAAAATTTATCAATTACTCGGACTGACCTGGACCATGCCCACCCCTACCGAATCGAAATGTACTCACCTAAGCTAACTACATGCAAAATGATGAAGTGGAATAAAAATACAACGGTGAAATGATTAAAATAGTTATTGGACTACGCGTGTGGAATCCCGATTTTATTTCGTTTAACCGCTAAGATGTTAAATTCATCAATAGTAATAGTTAAATACGGAGTACTATTTATAAATTGTACCCATACATGAGCTTAGATGTGAATGCAAAACAATGTCATCTCGAATGCATTCACTTTTGATTAGATGTACACTAGATGTACAAGTCTTATCTCTCAAACGATGACTAGATGTAAACTATGTGAGTTCAAGTCCAAATTGCACCCATCAGTGACTAGATGCGTAATAATGGTGTGAACAAGAAATGCAACGATGACATAAATAAAAACATGCACTCGGTTCAAGTCCTATCTACTAAATCCTTATTTTCTAACCGCATACATGCATCTATGACTAGGGCTGAGCACGGATCTGGGAATTCTCGTTCCATACCGAAGAACCGTCCCGAACCGTTCCAGAACCGATACAACCGGAAAAATGTAATACAGTACCGTACCGTACCGAGCTTTTCTAATAATATGGTACGGTACCGGTTCTTAGTGAAAACCGTACCGGAACCATCCCGGAACCGTACCGAACCAGGCCGTCTCGTACCGTCCCGAATTGTCTCGAAAACTAGTGTTATAATATAATAATATATTATATATAATATAATAATATGTATAATATATTATATACCGAGTATAATTGTCCGTATATTACTCTTACATCTTCTTTGGGCCCAAGATGCTGAAGTTGTTGAGGCCCTGATGTCAAGGCTTAATATTGATTGTTGACAGAAATCGCCCCGAGGTCCTGATGGCTGATGCCATTGCCTAGAATTCTGGCAGATTTAGTCTAGCTCAAATATGGATTATTAAATTGATTATTTTTGTCATGTGATGTGATACTTTTTTGTTTTTCAGTTTGACGATCACTTTTGCATTTTAGTTTGAATTGGATGTTACTTTTCTTTAATATAGTTTGACTATTAGTTTCATATTTCAATTTGATCACACAATATCAGTTTAATATAATCTTGCAAGTTCTTCCCTTCAATTTTTGTAGAGTTATTTATAAATGTTAAAATCTAAAGTTTTTTATATTTAATGGAGTTATTTAGTTATTTAAGAACCGTACCGAACCGAACCGTACCGTACCGAAAATTGGTATGGAACGGGACAAGTTCTACATATACGCGGGACGATACCGGTTCTTGATTTTTAAAAGAACCGTACTTTGGGACGGGACAAGTTTTTCGAAATAACCGTCCCGTACCGTCCCATGCTCACCCCTATCTATGACTAGATATACACTAGATGCACAATGATGACGAGTACAAGAAGTAGCGTGACGACCTAAATAAAAACAATTACTATGCTATGTAGGTTGAAACCCATTTTTTATTTAATAATTAAGGTTCCAATGCATCAATATTAATAGTAAGAATACTATTTATTCATTTTACTCATGCATGAAATTACATACAAATCTCAAAGAGTGTCATATTGATATGCACCCACCTATGAGTAAAATGAAGAAGTAAAAACTTAGTTACTAAGTTCAAGTCCCATCTCCAAATTTGTTATTTTTAACTGCATCCATCTAGACCTATCCCAGTTTAATTTCTCGTAAAACTAGAACCAGAATCGGAACCGCTATACTGTAATTGCATGGTGCTTCCGGTTTGGTGCCGAAAGTCTAATGCCCGATTCGGTTCTCCCAAGTATTGGATTTGAAACCTGCGGATCTGGTTCAAAACTTGTTTTTAATTAATTATTTAATAATATCAATTAAATATAATCGTACTAGTTGTACTGATAATAGAAATATCAATTTTAAAAGTTAATAATTACAACTCATTAGTACTATATAACATAATCTCTTATTTATTAATACCTAAATTCTTTTAAAATACTAGCTTGTGGGTTTTTACTAATATCTTGTTCTTGCAATAATATTTTGGGAACTCTTTTATTAATTTATTTTAGAAAAGCAACTAAACTTTAATATCTAAAAAATAACGAAAATAAAGATTGGAACAAGAAAACTAAACCGTATTGGTACCGGAACCTCTGTTTTTGGAACTGGCATTA